TAACTGCTTTATTGCTTTCAATAAAAAACCGACAACAAAGACTTACGTCATAAACACCTCTCTCTTCTTTGTAGCGCCTGAAATAAGAGCAGGGATTCGAAGAAAGATATTTAAAAGCTTGAAAATTTAAACGTTTCAGAGGGAAAATTGGTATTCGGCTCCTCTCTTCTCGGTGTTTCGAAATGTGGTCAAACACGGCCTTTCGCGTTTGATATATCGCATCATAAAGAATCAAAGGAACAACTACTATAAAGGCTGACAAGGCAAATATAACATGCAACAAATCTTGAGCATCTTGAAGAGATGTTTTTGCCATTATTGATCTGCGGTGAGCCAGTTTTTCGTCTCACAAGTGTAAAGCAACCTACCTCTTTTTTCCAGCTGTGCCTAAGAAACAAAAAATCAGATGATTAAGTTTCACAGTGGAGACAGTATACATGTACTAGCAATGAAACATACTGGCGGAAAAGGGAAAAAATGCACTCTAAAATATATTACTGTTTTACCTTTCTTGTGTAGCCAAACGATGTAAAGAATCAGGCAAATGATTATAAACACAAGAATTCCAACTACAGCTGCCCAGATGACGTCATTACACGAGCACTTGCATTGTTCAGCAGCTATGAAAGAAAAACGAAAACCACCTCATTTGCTTGGCTTCCTTGTGTTGATCGATTTTATAGGCAACAGGCATACAAATAAGTCATTTCATTTTTCCACTTAGAGCAAGAGAATTTCTCGAATATAGAATACCTCTATGCGTCTCTATGGAAAAGGAATACTACACTGATTTATAATAATTCCCAAGCACAAATTAAAAACACGGGCGGATTTAGGGGGATTGATTGGATGGCCACCTCCCTTTTAAACAAACAAAATAGTAAGGAGAGTTACCTCATTGTAATTTGTAATTTCTACTTTGCGGCATTGCTAGTATTCCTGGTGTATCACATTTACATTAGGTTCCAATTCTCAAAATGCACCATTTAATTTTGGGGGGCATGCCCCATTCATTCTGCAGTCCCAAGTTACCAGCCAAATTCTGGATCCGCCTCTGCGTAACATCAGGGCATCGACTTGGTTTGCGCATTGACTTTTACGGACATTCCAAACTGACCTGGAAAGTTTCAGTCTTGTTATGATTTACGAGCTCTACCTTCACTGTTGCCTTATGTTAAATTTTGAAATTGCAGCTCTGACAGGTGCTGTAACACAGTGATAGCAGGCATCGAATTAGATGCCATGACCAATCCAATTCCAGCCAATTGAAACCTTTGTAGTTGGCCTAGATCTTACGGCTGTTAGTTAAAGGGTAACGTAGCAGTGGCCTTGGGGAGGCCATGTTAGGGGTTTTAGGGATCAGGCATAACTGGCAAAATAATTTTAGGGAAAAGGGATCACTGACTAAATAATTATAGGGATAAGAGATAACTGAGATTTAGGGATAACAAAAAATAGCTTTGATTTCTCAATTGTCACACGTTTGGTCACTTTTACCGAGGATTTGCATCACCGGCGACCGGTAATAAACAGTAACGGGTCATTTATCTGTCCAAATCCAAGCAAGATGGGTCAGATGTCCAAGATTTGCTCCCAGGCTCTTTTATTCGGTCAGCCGCTGACTAGAGAGGAGAATATTTTAAGGTAACGTCATATAAACCTGTAGAGTTTTCGTATAATTATGCAGTATTAAGTTATCTATTAAGAAATGTGTCGCTTTACACTTTAAAATTGCCACCTATTGTCAAATTCCAAAGATAAGTAATTTTGAGGATAACAGTCTCGGTAATTTTAGGAATAAGGGATAACTGCCCCCGAAATTTTAGGCATAAGGGATGACTCCCCCCTCCCCTAAAAGGGCCTCCTTAGGGGCTCAAGAAAGCACAGCAAGATGGTTATCATAAGGCTTGCGACCAGAATATTCCCGCTTTTGAAACATTACGAATATGGAAAGCTTTTTTTTTTTTTTCTTGGAGGTGAATCGCGAAGATATCGGAAATGAATAACGAGTTACAGTGCATTATTCCGTTTTTTTTTTTTTATATATACATTTAAATTATCTTGAGCTGCCATAAAACTAAAAACAAAATGTTTTACCTTTGGTGCTTGAAGTGTCCGTCGGTGCAGGAGAAACTTGTTCAATGGAATTGGGATCGACTTT